CGGTCAAACTACTCAAATGTTCAGCATTCTTGACAGCATCCAATTCCTTTTTCATCGCTAACCGCTGTTCCCGTTCTTGTTGTGCCGCCAAAAGCGCTTCCTCCACCTAGGTGGTAAACGGAAGATAATTAGCGGACTGACATTTGGAAAATCGCTTAAAGCGATACGCACCTGTTTCTCGGCGATATTCTTTAACAACTGACTTTCTTCTATTGCGGCATTTAACATGTAGATTTCATCGGCATATTTGGTACAATCAATTTTTAATGATTCAAATTCTACTTGCGCACCTCGAAGGTTGGCAACCTAGAAAATGTACAGTTAAGAAAGCGATTGAGTGATGGCATGCACTTACAGTCTTCTGTAGGGCGATGTTCTCTTCTTCGAGTTCTGTATACTCACCCATAAGCCTTTGCTCTCGTTCTTTGGTTTCCTTTAGCTCGGCCTAAGAAAATGTGAGTTGAGTGATAAGAAGATAATATTTTATAAAGGATAAGATAATACTCAAAGCTACCATCACTTAGACCTAACCATCACTACTCGGTGTACGTCAAAAACTGGTTGAGATTTCATAGTTGTGCTACCTCCATTAATACTTCGATAAACCAATATATCAGATTAAAAAAAGTTCTAGTATTTACGTAAAATTAAATAACTCCACATATTGAATATTGTTATTATTTACATATGCTTAAGTTTTCAAGTTGCCTGGAGACATTGGCTTCACTAAAAATAGTGAAGACTGGAATGAGTCGTAGAAGGAAGGAAAAAAATGTTACTTTAATTTCAGTGATTTAGAGGAAGAGCCATAAATAATGAAAAACCGAAATATCATCAACGGTCTAAAATGGAATTTAACTCTCAGATATCTGCATGATTTCCTAACATAATTTTTCTTAGATATAAAAGCGTATGCTCAGATAATAAAAGAAGAAAATGGTTTGAAAAGGAGCGTTTAAGAAAAAACGGGGGCAATAGATTAGTGCAATTAGAAGTAAATTCTTTAAAGACTTCCAAGTATTTAGTTCTTATTTGAAAAAAATATGGACGCCATTTTCTAGAAAATAGTTAAAGATTATCTCCTATAGAAGAAATGCTTCTGGCAGAATCTGCCTATTACTGAATTGCCAATATTCAAGAAAAGATCGATTAACTTCAGTGCAAAAGTACTAATGCCAAAAGTAGG